CAAGGGATGCTGGATCCTGTACAAGGCATGCTGCTGGATCCTGTACAAGGGATGCTGCTGGATCCTGTACAAGGGATGCTGGATCCTGTACAAGGGATGCTGCTGGATCCCCTGCAAGGGCTGCTGCTGGATCCCACACCACGGCAGAACCCATCATCCACAGCCTGCAGCTCCCAAAGATGGGCAGGTCAGCCCAGGGACACAAACCCCAGCGTGGCTTTGGTGGGCTGGTCCCAAAGTGACACCAGCTGATCCCAAAGTGACACAGACACACAGCACTCACAGGCCATGACTGAAGGCAGAGCCAGGACAATGCTGTCTGCTCTCTCTGAAGGGCCTGGGGAGGGCTCAGGACAGGCCATGGCCCTGCAGCTGGACACAGCTCAGCGAGGACAGATGTTTGAGTCACCACTGCCTAGCTCTGGGAGCCAACAAGCACCTCAGCAACAAACCAGGCACTGAAAAACTGCGAGAAGAGACTGCAAGCTGGGTGAAGAGACTTCCAGAGACTGAAGGGAAAAATGCCCCTAACTCCAGAGCCAGGACATGCCTGCTCAAACAGGGGAAAAACAGGCGCAGGGATCCACCTGGCACCTGCACGTTTCAGCACCTCCTTAATTTTTCACTAAAGACTCTGAAAATGCCTTTGGTGAGGGCCACTGAGGTCATGAGGACAGCCCAGACCTGCTCCACCCTGCCACACACACGGGCAAAGCCTCCACGGGGCTGGGGCATCGGACACGAAACTTAGAGCAGCCCCAAATCCTCCCAGCACAGAACAAATTAATCATCACTTCTGTCCCCACAGCCATGCACATCAACCAGGGCACATACTCCCCTCAAACAGCTCCAATCACACCTTACACAGCCTCACTTTTTCTGTTTGGGTTTTTTTTAAAGTTAGGAAGAAAAAGAGAAGAGAAAAAAAATGTGTAAAAATTCAATTATTTTTTTCCTGGCTGCAATCTAGGGCTCCAAAATTGAAGCCCAAGCATATATTTTTCTGTAGAAAATTGTCATTTACAAATAAAGAATTGGCTAAAGCCGACTTGTAACTAAAGGATTTTGCAGGGCTGTCAAGAGCCCTCTGCCTGCCAACATCTGATTTAAGATCAGGCCAAGCTTCTGTTGTCATACAAAAGAGGGAGGAAAGCAATTATTCTAAAGCAGTATTTGAAATTATCATCGTTTTTATATTTGACCAAGAAAGAAAGCAAAAGAGAGCTACTGCTTTTAGAAGCAAGATTGAAGGTTATAGGGAAAAAAAAAAAAAAGACCACTTTGTTTCAATAGCTTCAGTCAAAGAAAATATTGGTAATGACAAGCAAATTCACAACACTGTAATGCCTAGAGATGTATTGCGAGCCGGGAAACGGTTTCAGAAATCAGCTCTTTGGTACCAAAGCGAAGCACAAAATTAAGTCTGCTTTTACAACCCACATTTCCCTGAAGAGACTGTTGAATTGCTTTGTTCCCACATTGCCCCCAGCACCCGCACAGAACACACACACCCTGCCCTGCCTCTGCAGCAGGGCCTGCTGCCTTCCCCCTCCTGTGGCACCCGAGACACCGAGCACGGGCAGGGGGACAGGGGCAGGGGGCATGGGCAGGGGGACATGGACAATAGGGACACGGGGGACACGGGGGACAAGGGCAGCAGGGACAGGGGCAGGGGGACAGGGGCAGCAGGGGCAGGGGGACACGGGCAGG